GTAAATGTCAGCTAATTGGGAGAACCTAAATCATCATTTCTTTAAATATTTCTTGCCCTTTATTCTGTTCCTTCTTGAACCTCCAAATGTCAGACCTTGTGATATTGACTCATGAATTCCCCAAGGCTCATTTACCCCCAACTCTGACTCCAGTATCAGGTCAAACTCAGTGCAGTTGCTTTGTTTATAGCTGGGCTTCATTGTTTATGTGTGGTTCAAGACCAAAAACTTGAGCCTTTCTCTCCCTGACTCTGCTTTTGAGTCTTCTCTCTCACTTTCCAGGGAATTTGTTGGCCCGCACTCTTTTCCCTATTCTATCAGGCAAGCAAGACTACTAGTTTTCTTTGGACTTCTGGTCTCCCTGCATGGTGCCAATTATTAAGTGAATTAAGTGAAAAGCTGCAAAATGAGAAACACACCCTTCCAATCTTTCAAGTTTCAATTCCCTGCTAGAAGCTGAAGCAGAACTCCTCAGTCCTTTAAGTCTATGGTAATTCAGGGCAAGCGTGTACTACTTTATATGAATCAACAAAATTGAAAGCTTGGGACAAAAGTGAAACCCATGATCAACAGTCTTAGTTTCTCCCTTCCCTTCTATTAACACAGGCCATGATGTCTTTGTTTACAGAATGTCACCCTGGTTATTATGGGCCAGACTGTAAGCTTAGGTGCCGTTGCACAAATGGCGAGATCTGTGATCGGTTCCAAGGATGTCTCTGCGCTCGAGGATGGCAAGGCCTCCAGTGTGAGAGAGAAGGTAAAGCAAGGTAACACTGTGATCAGGGTCATGTTCAGCACACCTGCACATGCCTCAGTGGTATAATTCTTTCCACAGTATCCTAGTCTGCCAGCTGCTGCTCCTCTCCAGGATTTGGGACTCCTACTCTTCCAAACAGTATTCTGATCCTTTTCCATAGTAGGCCTTCATCCCAGCCTTTTTTCTCTTCTTACTAGGAATAAACCATGTGCTCTTTGTAGCACCAGAAGGGGTGACTGACCAGTCGCCAGCTTCCCTCTCTGTGTTCCCCCTTCTCTAGCACCAGCTTTTTCATTGGTTAGGGAAGAGTTACTCTGCAGGGATTTGGATAAAAGATGTTTTCAAAAAGAGAAAGAATGTAACAAATGGGAAGGATTTCATTCACAGAAAAATTTTGCATAGTTTAGGTTCAAAATGCATAGACCACATCCAACCCACTGTCCTTTCTATAGAAACAGCTTTGAGATATCACTTTATAGCATAATGCTTACTCTTTCATAATGTAGAACTCAATGGTTTTTAGTTTTTTTACAGAATTGTCCAGTTGTTACTACAATATAACTTTAGAAGATTTTCATCATACCAAAAGAAACATTGTACCCATTAGAGAAAACTATTAACTTACCTTCTGTCTGTGTGAATTTGCCTTATTTTTGATGTTTTCATACTATAAATATACTGTAAATGGGATCATATAATGTATGGCCATTTATGCCTTGCTTCTTTCACTGTACCATATATTCTTTTTTTTTTAAATCACCTGCCAGCTCTCATTATAAAGCACAGCTTTATTTTACAGAGGCACTGCTGCACTCAGTGCCCAGTGCTCTTGTGCTGTAAGAGCGGAACTGCATAGCTACCGCAGAGAACATGACTTACAAAACTGAGAATACTTGCTCTCTTTACAGAAAAGTGTGCTAATTGATGCCTAAAACTGGAGTCTTTAAAGAGGCATATTAAAAGAAACATAGTTATGAATTTTCAAATTTCAAGCGTAAACATTTTTCCAATCAAATATAAATGTTATAGAAAGAAACCTGTTCAGTGAAATCTACAATCACAGTAAGGCAGCTATAGTCTTTTCTCTGTTAGTGTCTGAAATCAAAACGAGTATGTGCACTGCTTGGGCAGGGGCATACCAAAGTTTTTTTTCTTAAAGACCTTAAGCTTTTCAGCTGTATGGTTTTTCTTCTTTTCCCAAATCTGGATTTGGCTGATGGACAGAAATTAGGAAGTGGCAAGGAAAGGAAGAAAATTCTTGGGGCCACAGGGCAGGGGTATTGAAAATGGGCAACTGATCAATTCAAGGATTTGAATTTTGTACTTCACCCCTTCTTTTCTTTCCTGAGACCCATGCTACAAAGGGTGTGCATTCTGATGGGAGAGTCCGAGGCACCAAGGCTTTCTAGCCTGGATTTTCAGGGTAGAGTTCCCTTTCCGCTACTCTGGTCTCAAACTTCGTCTTCATCCAGCTTCAGGAAATACAAGACTACAGTTAAAGAAGTGATTTAAACATGTGAAAGCATTTTTTGATTATTAATTCAAAATCTTCAATAGTTACAGAGCTATTTGTTTCTTTTTTTTTCTTTCTTTTCTTTTTTTTTTTTTTTTTTTTTTTTTTTTTTTTTTTTTTTTTTTTTTTTTTTTTGTATTTTAGAGAAGAGTCTACAGGGTGTTCAGGGTCTCACTGGTATATCAGACTTGTAGTGATCTGTCTGTTTACAGCCTCCCAAGAGCTGGGATTACAGGCATGCGCCACTGCACCCAGTCTAAAAGCACTTTTTTGGATTCCTATTTGAATAGCTAGTAGGTCTGAGAAGTTTAGTAAAATTTCCCTCAAGGGTATAGATATATCAAGAAATCATCTTTGTAATTATTAGACCTTTCCCCCTGCCACTCCACACTCTTATCCCATTTGATTTTAGGCCTGAGAAATGTGATATCTCTATCTAATATTAATATTGGCATGTTTATCTTGATCCTACCTTTTCCCACTGCCAACATGCAAAGGTGCATAAGGGACTGCTGCTTTCAGGGTGCCTCTGCCCCCCATATATTTCACAAAATATTGGGCATGTTTTAACCATTACTTCAGTTTGTTTTGCATTGCTATAACAAAATACCTGAAGCTGTGCATTTTATAAAGAGATTTATTAGCACAAAGCTTTGCAGGCTGAATTTCCAAGATCAGGTGGTCCAGTCTGTTCAGCTTGTGGTGAGGCTGTGTTCTCCTTAAATGATAAGGCCTGGATAATATATGGCCATGATAATTACTTTTTTTTTACGATAATTACTTTTAATTTTGAGAATTCCATTTAGGTCTGCTCGAAAGAATGTGGAATCCAGATTCATAAAAGACATGAGCTCAATTCTAGGCTCTAAACCTCAGTTTCATCATCTGTCAAGTGGAGACCTCAACAGAATCCCTGTCAAGTTCATTGTACAATGATAAAACGAAATATCTACAAAGTTTGTGTGTTGTGCTTGCCTTGTTTAAGTAGCTGCTTTCATTTCTGCTGCTGTACTGATGGTTAGATTGCCTGGTGATGTTTTCTTTATTCAGGAAGGCCAAGGATGACTCCAGAGATAAAAGACTTGCCAGACTACGTAGAAGCAAATATTGGCAAATTTAACCCCATCTGTAAAGCCTCTGGCTGGCCACTACCTGCTAATGAAGAAATGACCCTGGTGAAGCCGGACGGGACAGTGCTCCAGGTAAGAGTGACTCTTAACCCCCTTCTGATGCCGTCATGTGGTTTCAGTGCAGAACTCTTCTTGGCAAAGGCTGTATTTCACTCAGGACTTTATCTTCTCACCATCCAGTGTGTTGCTCGCTTTGTGGAAGAGCCATTTTCCAGGGAATGCCAAGTGGACTCCCTGTGGCCTATTTTCTTCTGCACAGCCAAGGTACACACGAAGGCTGGCAGTGCCCAGCCCAGTGGCATAAGTGGAGTCATCGTAGGCCCTCATCCCTCAGAATAGCCCAGATGCATGTGCTGAGCTGCGTCAGGCTGTGCCAAGCTCTGCCATATCGATATCCGCATGTCTCTAACTCCTGATATCAGGATGAGTAAGGCCGGGTGATGAAGCCCAAGAACCAGCAGGGTCTCCCATGCTACAGGACATGGAATGTTTGATGATGAGTCTGCACCTCTGTTGCTCTTGGAGCACCATTGAGGGGAGTGTGTATCAAAGAGGGGAGTTTGGCACAGTCTACTTGACTCTACATAAAGAGGCCCAACATCTGCTCCGTGCATCTCTGACACAGTCAGTCCCTCTGACCTGAGTATACTGCTTGAGATTCCCTGTGCATCTTCACTTTGCTCTCAGGGCTGGCATTCACCACTCATGAGGCCACACTGCAGGAAGTTTTGGGTTTTTTGCTACGCAGGACTAAACTGCCCTTCTAATATGTTTCCCTTTTCTTTCCCAGCTATTCCAAAGACAGCAGACATAGGAGCCACTCTAAAATTTTCCATGTTGCAAGAGATCCTAAGGAAGTTGATGTATATCTTCTTATCTATAGATTTTTAGAGACATGGTTATCTTTTTTTTTTCCTCATAGGTGGCTGAAAATCAAATTGACCAAAGACAAGTTGAGTAAACTTTTATAGTAGGATATTTAGAATATATAAAGTGTCCACATAACAAATGTTCCCACTTCCACTTGATGCATTAGGTAGAAAATCCAAATGACACTTTAAAGAAATCTTGTTAGCTTTTCCATGAATTAGTGTAAGTAGTGGCTACTGTATACTAAGGGTCAACCACACCTTCCTTTCTCTCTCTCTCTCTCTCTCTCTCTCTCTCTCTCGATCTTGCTACACAAATTGGACTCATGGTGATACTCCTCTCTCACCCTTCCCAGCACTGTGATTACAGGTGTGCACCACCTGTACATGCCTGGTCTTGGTGGCTGGCATGATGCACCTGGGATTCTGGGGCTGGTGCCGCATGTGAT